ATCATAATAATAATAAACAAAAAGAGTACGTGTCATATCATATATGTCATCATTCACGTGATTAGCAGCTTGGGACATGTGGATAGCAAGAAGGGTTGACCCCATCTTAATCATGTGATGCATGTGTAGAGGAAGATCCTGCAGCAATTTGAGGAACATTTTCGCCACATCAACCATATGAATCACTACTAGAGAGGAGGACAGTTTACGCCACATCCTTAATCCTCTCCTACATATCTGAAAGTTTTTAGGAATATACGATTTTATGGTTTTTCGCGCTCTAATTTTCGCGAGCACGATAAGAACCTTTTTTTTTATAAAAAATCTAGAATTTTTGTTTTATGTTCTTCCGTTGCATATGTGATATTGCCCAAGGTTTTCCGACGAACACAAGCTTTCTTCTCATTTATTATGGCAAGGAAGATAATCACAAACTTTCTTATCTCCCTTTACGCGAAAGAAGATAATCCTAAACTCCATTCTCTTTCTTTATGACAAAAATGGATATCATAAATTTTTTTCCCCTTCTTAAAGATAGAAAAACACATCCTAAATAGGGAAGTAAGGAAAGATTCTCTCTTTTCTTGAACTACTCAAGCCCATATTTAGGGATCTCGAATTACTAATTTGAACATCGGATGGACCAAGTCAGGAAACCTCTCCCTACTTTGGTCTTCATACAGGTGTCACATGGAGAGCATAATACTTCTACGTTGAGAGCATAATACTTTCACCTTAGGAGCTCGACATCTCAATCTCGGAACCATCTTGGATCCATCTCGAAATCACATCGGAGACGCTTCGGATAATCCTATGCACATAGCTATGAACCACATAAGAATAACTAAGACGTTAATGATATTTTTTCGTACAAATATAAAATATCAAATTTGATGAGCACTCCAAACGGATGATGTATTTTGTAATACACCAATTTAAAGTGGATAAATCATATATTAGAAAAAAAATAAATCATAAATATGTTTTGGTCAAAAATATAATCAAATAAAAATGTAAATAGAATTCTTATAAATGATTCAAAAAAAAGTCCCAATGTGTGATTTGCTATTAAGAGGTATTATGAACCTTTCATTCATGTATTATTTAGAAAATTATTCTAAAATATAATTAGTTTTTGGCTCGCCTGTGTGCATGATCGTGGAGGGTCAGTGAAGGCGTTTGGACGCCAACATCAAGAACTGTAAATAAATCATCGGAAATACCAAAACTTATTAGAAGATCAAAGACTTGGAAGTTTGAGGAAGAAGTAGATATTGTTGAGCATATGAATGCAAGGCAAAATCGACTTTTACAGCTTTTCCGACTAATCATAGGGTGCCAAATGACAAGATGAGAGTATAACACGGAGCGTCGTGAGGTACGTTAAGTCACGTGCGGGACAGTCTCTGCTGAGTCAACATTGCATGCCATCAACGCGCAGCGACAGAGTCAACACGCAAGATACATGCATCCGTTCTAGTAAAAAACTAGAAGTGAGGCTAAAATGATAAATATAAAAAGGGCATAGGGGTAATATGGTAAAGGGAAAGTTTAGTGTTTCCTACTAAAGTTCCCCGGCAACAGAACATGAGCATTTATATTTATTTATTTGTATGTTGCAAGAAAGAGATCATGCATGCAATTGACTCAAGCTTACATAGCCATTCATATCGCTAATTATCTCTGAAATTATATGCTGCACTCATATGCAACTACGGCAGGATTAAACCATTGTAAGTTTCAGTAGTCGGATCTATTTTTAGTTGTTCATTAGATTTTGTATACATTTTTCTTCGACTTGAAAAATTCAGGTCCTACTTTTAGCTCGTACAATAATGTTTGCAGCAACTCTTTTCTCTTGAGCCAATCCCAGCATGTATAGCCTCTCTAGGTTTAAGAAATAGACTGCCTAAGGAAAATTGGTAACAGCTTATGCCAAAGAGTTAGATTACAAGACCATTACATGTAGCAAGAGGAACATGAAGAGAACAAAAAAAACCTGATACTGCACCCGGTAGTAATAACAACTAAATCCAATTTGTGCATCGCATTTACAATATCTATATTTACAATCCAAACAAAAGAGAAGAAGAGCACATCAAAATCAACCTTTACCTCCACAAGTTCCACATCATTTAAGCCTCCCCCATGCTCGGATTGAGGTGTCATCATGTCTGGAAAACAGATACACGCAGCTTTATGAATCAAAACGGATTACCTCATAATAATGCAAACTTTATATGACTGCCGCACTTATTCTTAGAGGATCCAACAGAATCATATGATCAGCAGAAGATATCACGATTTCTTCTTTCGTGCCGCCCCCTCACGCTGACTGCGGAAGTGGCTTAGGATCTGTTGTGCCTGAAATGCATATAGTGCCTCAGTCAAACTTTATTTATAGTATACCAAACTTCAATAATTCAATTGCATAACAATGCTAACATAATTATGAAATTGCAGTGATTGCATCAAATGATTTGTTTGCTGTGTTAAATAATCCATCACTGCTAGTTAACATGCCAGTGATCCCTGTACCATCAGAGACAGAAATGAGCCATTAAGATTCCATACCTTTTCTTTTCCTCTGGGCGTTCCAAACTGGGAAAGTGCAATAAGAGGTGGCACAGCTCCCTCTTGCAATACTAGACTGCAAAATTTCTGGCTACTTAGACAGAGTTGGAACAAAGTTGATGCTGCATTTTCCTTTCCCCGTTGAGAGCCTGTCTCAACAACCTCAACAAGCAGTGGTATGCCACCTTCCTGGGCGATAGCTATTCGTCCTTCAGGTATCGTTGATAGATTAGCTAAAAGAGCCACAGATTTGTCAACCATTCCTGTGCTTAGCTCCATCAGCTTGATGAGGTATTTTACTGCTCCAGCTTGGACTATCCTTGCCTTGTTCTCATGAAATATTGAAAGATTAAACAATGCAGTAGCAGCATCTTTCTTTCCTCTAACGCTACCAGTTTCCAAAAGATAAACTAATGCCTTAACAGCACCAGAACGTCCAATTTTTGCCTTATATTCATCCATGACAGAGAGGCTGAAGAATGCTGCTGCTGAGTTCTCTTTGGCCTCTGTGGTACCACATTCCAGCACATGTATAAGTGGTTCAACAGCTCCTGCTTCTGCTATAAGAACTTTGTTATCGTCATTAATGGACAAGTTCAACAGGGCAGTTACAGCATTTTCCTGAACCTTCTTTACATTCGAGTACAACAAGGAGACTAGTGAAGGGATGGCCCCACACTTCCCAATAAGGACACGATTTTCCATATTGTTCTTTGCAAGAAGTCTCAACTTGGATGCAGCAGCTGTTTGCAATTCAGGTGCTTCACTCTTTAGATCATCAATTATATTTTGAACATGGGGAGCGGTCGTAAGATCATCCAACCTTGAGCTTTGGAGCAAAGGTTGACCCTTGTCATCAATTCCATGCCCGTTTTTAGAACCAAAATGCTGGTTCGAGCAAAGCCATGAGGAAGAACTGAGTTCTTTATTCAAGGGTAAACATGATGGATAAGTGATGTCTCCCGGCAAACTAACTTTTTCATCAAACTTACTCATAACCTCAATGCTAGAAATGACACTTGAAATTGATTCACTGTGACTATGGCAACTATTTTTCTCAACCAAAGCATCACCTTGCAAATTAACCTTATCTGCCATTGTTTGGTGATGGCTATAATTGGAACAATCTTGTTGACCACAGCCTGATGATATCTTAACTTTATGCAGTTCAGTTTTATCATAGCTTTCAAGAGAGGATCTGGAGGTGGAATGTCTATGGTCATCTTCATGCTGGATATCTTCAAAAGCTGCAATTGATGAATAAGGATAAGAGATATTCTCAGGCTGTGCAGAAACATCTAACTTTATGTTGTTTTTCTCACACCAGTTTGCAATAAGTGCCTTGACCGTGTAATTGGGAATTAGATTTGTGTGGACGAGAGTTTGGCGTGTCTTTGGACAAAATCTGAGCCCATTATCCAGCCATTTCTGTATAAAAGATCTTTCATATGTTTGACCTGAGGCCAAAATTACTGGATCTAGCATAAGTTGCAAAGATAGAGGGCAGCGGAAATGTAAGGGAACAGGAACCCCATTGACAAACCCAAACTGTTCAAGTTTCTCCATACAATAGCAGATGTGTGACACTAGAACAGTGATCCAATTTATATGATCAATAATTTCTGTTTTTGATTTAAGTTCAGCCTTTGCTTTTTCCTTCTCGAGAGCAATACTTTCCATCAGAAGTTCCTGATTTGATGCCAAACTAAGAGTATCCATAATCTTTATTACATCATCAAGGCTAGGTATGGTATTTTCCTTTAAGTCTTTAAGAGCATGATCAATGAGTTCTGATATTGGGTCCTGCTCCATATATTGAACCTCCTGCATACAATGCTGGAAGATCATCTATTGACATTAGCTTTTCAAAGACTGGAGTGCTTACAGAGCAGAATCACAAAAACAAGGAGCAAATGATTCACAAAAGATGCCTCCATACTAAATAATTGAACTGTCAATTAGTTTGAATACCTGGATGCTAGCGGAGAATGGAGATGATTGTAATGCACTCAAGAAATGACATATCTCTGATGCTGACTTCTGGACCCTCAACAACATGGGCTCACTTTGTAAAACCTGCACATCAGCACTATATCAACAATGCAAAAGGACATTGTTGTACAATGACTTTTGGGTAATAGCCTATAGAAAGGACTTGCATATGTAAGTTCTGATTCAGGAACCAGTGTGTTGTGCACAAGTAAACAAATCAAATTATATGCAGAAATAGCAGGGACTTGAACAACTTCCAGTGAACTGCTATGTTAGACCAGACTATTAGGTGTGCCATGAATTCTCACATCATGCAAACAATTTAGAAGAAATCAAATTAGAGGCATTTTGTATATAATGTTATGACATTGTTGTATAATTTATGTAGTATTAGAAAGCATTAGTATCAGAAGTACCATTACCAGGAAAACTCACATATTATATGAAATAATTAGTGTCACTTACACTGGTCCATAGTCCTACGAAATAAATGTTTCAGTGAAGATGTCGACCTGAATAACATTGGAGGTCCACTAACCTAGCAAGGAATTGTCAGTAATACTTCTAGAATGAATTAAGCTGTAGATCAAATAGAACTAAAATAAAATGAGACCTGCAGATTGCATTTGAGTGAACACACAGAACAAACAAAGTCAATAGCACCATTACCAATAAAAAAGGGGCATGTGGAACATAACGGAGAAACATACACCATATAAGATAAAGCTTATGATGCTCAGAAAAAAACATAGGATATGAATTGGAACCCACACTGTATATCTTGCTCATTCTCTGGGGAGCCTTCTCCAGTAGCTCTCTAGCATCATTTACAGCCACATCTAACTCTTCAAATTCTTTTACAAGATGCCCATCCAAAGGCAATTCCGAATCAAGTGCTTCATCCAGAACAGGCTTCAAGAGCTTCAATATGCCAACTATTTTTCTGAAGTCCTTTATAGCAGCACTTTTTATCGTCTGGCAAGCCACCAGATGAATAAATCGAGAAATACTGTTTATGAGTCCCCCGATAATCTCTCCATCCATTGCTCCTGTTTTATTGGAAACAGGACATATTATGAGTACAGTGCAAGTCAGGGATCGAAAAAAAAAAAAAAAAGTAAGTGACAACTAGTAGCAACATTCTCTAACTCAAGCACAGTAGAAACAACTGCTTAGAAGTTAGAACTCTGATCAGAGTCACTGTGCCGGGATGCATGTGCTTAGAGTGTTTTGAAATGCTTTTCCAAAAAAAAGGGACAGAATTTATGACCAATTGTGTACTTGAAATTATAAGCCTTAAGGGCAATGCTATTTGTAATTTCTCCCAAGGCGAAATTAGGTAAAAGACGTAAGTAGGTGGAAAGATCTTACTCACTGGTTGCAGCTAATGCAACTTGAAGCATCCGTTAAACCCATACAATAAAAAAAGGTTCAGAAAAAAAAAACGAAAAGGTGAAAATAGCATGCTTGAGAGTATGATTCACTTTTTCTGTTCTCCCTTGTACTAGTCTTGGAAAAAATTAACCTTTTACAGTATCTAAATAATTCCAATGAAAGCGTCCTCTTGAGATGGTACCAAACAAGAAAAACAGCAGCCACTACTCAGATCTAATCCATCATCAACCAGCAAATCTATTGCACATTCTCAAGAAGTCTCCAGCCACACGAAGGAAGAAGGCGAGAAGAGCGGCAGCTATATTGATGGCATTCTATATTCAAGAGTAGTAATATCTCAACAACATAGAAATTGCATGTTTGGATGGAGTTGAAACAACACAACAGAACTTTCACGAGCACATTTGATACCAAAACATCGAAGAAGCGTTCCACAGAGACGGATCTGAGAACATGTTCGGCCCCAGTGGAAATAAAAGAAAGGAATTTTCACAAGCAAATTCGACAACAAGAAAGATCGCCACAATCCATGACGATGAGCAGCGTCCCGAAGAAAAGAAAGATGGCGAGTCATCCAGTATACCAAACAACGAAGAGTGAGAGCACGGATCGCGAATCAAGAATACCTCGGTTCATCTGGGAGGAAGGGCGGATGAAGACGATGCAGATCTACAGCCTCAGATCAAGTGGGTTGTACGGAACGGGGAGGTTCTGCATCGACGCAGCTCCCTCCCTTCCTTGCTAGCTTAAACCCCTGTGGAGAACCCTAGACGTTCCGGACCCCTGCTGGCTCGCTCGCAGACAAGCAGAGAGAGAGAGAGAGAGAGAAGGGGGGATAGGGGTGAGAGGAGAGGGAGGGAGGCAGGTATGTGATGAAGTTGGCAAGGGCCCCCATCTCCCCACCCACCCAGTTGTCTCTCATATAATAACAGCGTCCCCTTTTTGCTTCTACCTATAAATCACGATGCGTCCGACCCAGGTCTGCCAGCTAAGCCCAAAGTCAATGTATCAAGTCACACTTGCCCTTTCCCTTCGGGGACGACTTCAAGTATTTATCCAGTCGAGGAATATAATAAATATATCCATGCACTTTGAAGTGTTACTTCGTTGAGAAACCTGAGAGCTAATCTGATGACGTTTCAACGTTAATGGCAAAGAGAGAGCCGTTGCTGTGTATTGTGATGATGACATGACGTGCACGACCCACGCACTGCGAGTTTGATGGTACCCATCGGGCTTTTTAGTGTCGAGAGACGGATGGAGCCCATTGGGCTTCTTTCCCCGAGTCCATCGATGTCATAAGCACGTAAAAGCATACAACATCACGTATTTACCGAGGAGGAATGACTCCTCCCACCGGTTGCACATTAAAAAGTACTCATATTTTAGATTTTTTTTCAAAAGATATCTCTTTTTTTTTTGTAAATAATATATTTAATTTAATAATATTTAAAATATTTTTTTATTAGTTTTTAACTGTTATAATATTTTCAATTAATTCATTTACGGTATTTTTAATAATATTTATAATATTATATTAATATACTAAAAATATCATAAATGTTATATAAAGACATTATAACAAACATCATATTATGTCTATTCGATTATCATTACTCATGAATTATTATAATATTTTTAAATATATTTTATAAAAGGTAAAATATAATATTTTATAATAAATTAAAATATTATAAAAGGTAAAAAGCTTTTTGAGAGATAATTTAGATTTTTAAAATTAAAGATGTGGTTTAAAAAAGATAAAATATAGATATCGATTGAAAAATATTTAAAATGTGAATATTTTAAAAAAATAAAGAAGGAGTCAAATGTTTTTTAGTGTTATCAGAGGAGATTAAGGGCTTCTTGAGCTCAGAGAGAGTATGAGAAATATAAAAATGTCTCAGTATATTTGGTGTTATCATCAAATTGTAATGGTCGTTTGTTATTGTATGAAGGTGGTATTTTATAAAAAGGAAAGAGTTACGTCATATATCCTCTACTCTTTCGTTCAGATTTAAAAGGGTGATGCTTTACAGGAGAGTGGGTCCTAACAAAGTGATGATGCCCATCGAAAAGTAACTCTTGACAAAATGTTGGTGCTTGTCAATCGAGCCACTCCGAGTGATTCTTACGGCACATGACATGGGATGATGGAGTTTACGTGATTACTTTCGAGCTCATCAATTTTTTTATTATATGGTTTCATATAATTAACTAAGATATATTATAAATATAATTAAATTTTGATTATAATTATCTCTTAATAAAAATTAATTATAATAATTTTTTTAAGAGATAATCTTGATGAGATGAACTTTTTAAATTTTTTATCCTATATCTTATACTCTCGTCTATAAATAGATATGATCTCCTAGGGACTCAACAAAAATATATGAGGTTACAATCTTCTCTCATTTCCTCTTACTCACATGAACCAATCAATAAGATATTATATATCTTCTCTCATCTCCTTTTTGTCTCTAATTCATTGTTTATAGTGATTCTCTAAAGGATAGGAAGAAAGAATAAGTCAAGTTTAATTCTCCTTGTAGATCGGTATCGATATAGCTTTCAAATCCAACAACAGTACGCTTATAGATCATATAAAAGCTTTTTGAATGACATCGAAAAGTATACATCATAAATTTAATCTATTATTATTTGATTTCAAATTTTGACGAGATACATTTTTTTTAGAAAATATATGCATTTTGTTTTCAATTCTTCCATTGTACATGTGATGCTTTGATTAGATTTTTCAATAGATAGTATCATCCAAAATTTAAAAATTATGACAATGGTACTACTAGAGTTTAGAATTGTGACAGGTGTCAAAAGTTACGATAGTAATACCACATAGTGTTAGTGCTAATACCACTCGTACTTAAAATTTTGAAGATTTTAATTTTTGACTCTATTTTTGAAATAATTTAGAGCATATAAATACCATACTCAATCTTAGTTGATGGAGCATCCATTCTTGAGTTATTGAAGTGTTATAAGCTCTCATTTTATGCATAGTTCGAGTCTCCTCCGAGTTTAGTTAAAATTCTAAGTTAAAGAAAGTGAGATATTTTTATAATAGGAGAGTATAAATGTTATATATTAAGCTTGAAAAATAAGATAATTATAACAAGAGTAGTTAATCTTCACTCATTAGAAATAAAATTAGTAGTAAAAGCCAATCGCCTTAAGAAAAGAAAAATCGGAAGTGGACATAAGTTAGGAAGATTGAACCACGATAAATTGGTTTGTCTTTCTTTACTTACCCTTTATTTGTGACTTAGTTTTATTCTTTTTACTTACAATTTTAACGTATCAATTGAGTTTACGAAATATGTTGATTTATTGATCGAGTTTAAAAATTAATTAAAAATACTATCACATAAAAATTAATTTAAAATTAATAAATACTATTGATTTATCAATTCGAGTGACTTTGTGTGCTTTTCTAAGACCATTGTATCAATTGTAATGTATTGGTTAGCGCATTAGAGAATCTCAAGCATGGTAGTCGACTACTTCTCTATTAGAGACCATAAAAGTTGAGAGAGGTTTGAGGTAGGAATACAACTCCTAGGTCGTGCCCCATATTATCATAGGGAAGGCATGATATATTAGGGCATTTGGTATATCGTATAGCACCATTTAAGCATGAAAAATTACTATATTTTTTATAGGATTCAAGCCTCCATTGAACATCTTTTAATGTCAATAACCAAAAACTTGTGGGGATCAACTTCTTTCAAATCTTCTATACAAACAAGGATTTGATCAAGACGAAGTCAGATAAATCCCCTTCACAAGGTGAAACTCTTGATGTTTGTTAGGTGTCGATCCATTTACTATATCTATGCCAGAAGAGTGTAGTTAATGGAATCCATCGATAAGGCCTCTTGTAGTGCTCGAGTCTCACATACATTAAATTATAACTAGCATGTTAATGGAGGTACAAATAATACATATATGTTACTCTCACTTGATGATTTGTGATATCTATGCTTCATAAATATGATAAGTGATATATTTATATTTTTAACTTTTAAGATTGAATTATATATTTTTTAAAAATATCATTCTTAGTGTTCTACGAAATATTTGTTGAGCATATATAAGTATTAATATTTATGCTATGTATAGTGTAAGAAGGTAAAGTATGTTAGCAGCCTTGAATATAAGATTAAGTTATTTACATATTTAGTGTAGAGTAAAAATATTTTTGTTCAAGGAATAATTATTGAGATGGATAATGTCTTAAACTTTTATATAAGTTTTAAAATGTTAAGTCATATGTGATGTCATGATTGATATTATAAAGATATATCAATTTTGATTACTTTGCTTATTAGATATATGAAGTTTCTAGGAGTCAACTTTTCACCTAGAGGGAAGAATGTAATGTTTTCAAATTTTTTAGGACTTATTTATAAATATAGATATTATAAGGATTAAATTATAGAAGGTAAAAAATAGGGTCGGGTTTCTTCCCACCGCCTCCCACACATACGTTAACAGCCTCTGCCTCTCTCACGAGGAAAACAGAGGATGCATCGGTGGAAGAGAAGGCAGAAAGGAGAGAAGGAGAAGAGAAGAGAAGGCTACGGCTATGGGGGAGACGGGAAGAATAGAGAAGAAGGAAAGAGAGGAATGGAAAGGAGAAAGGGGAGGAAGAGAAGAGAAGGCTATGGTTGTGGGAGAGAAGGGAATAATAGAGAAGAAGGAAAGAAAGGAAGAGAAGGGACAAAGGGGAAGAAGAGAAGAGAAGGCTACAGCAGTGGGTGAGAAGGGAAGAACAGATAAGAAGGAAAGAGAGGAAGAGAAGTGAGAAACGGGAGGAGGAGAAGAGATGGTTGCCACTGTGGGGGAGAAGGAAAGAGAGGAAGAGAAGTGAGAAACGGGAGGAGGAGAAGAGACGAGAAGCCTACGACTGTGACGGAGAAGGGAAGAATAGAGAAGACAGAAAGAGAGGAAGAAAGGGGAGGAGGAGAAGAGAAGAAAAGGTTGCAGCTATGGGGGAGAAGGGAAGAATAGAGAGGAAGAGAAGGGAGAAAAGAGAGGAGAAAAAAAAAGGAGGTGGCTACGGTTGTGGGAAAGAAGGGAAGAATAGAGAAGAAGGAAAGAGACGAAGAGAACGGAGAAAGAAGAGAGAGGAAAGGAAGAGAAGGTTGTAGCTACGGGAGAGAACGGAAGAAAATAGGAGGAGGAAAGAGAAAAGAGAAGGGAAAAAGGAGAGGGAGGAAAGGAAGAGAAGATAGAAAGGGTTCGATTGTGAGACTAGAGAAAAGTAGAGTATAAAGAAAAAAAAAGGGAAAGAAAAGAGGAAGAAAGAGAAGGAAGAAGAAGAGGAAAAAGAAGATGAGAGAAAAAAAAAAAGAGCAAATGGAGGAGAGAGAGAGAGAGAGAGAGAGAGAGAGAGAGAGAGATATTGAAAAAAATAAAAAAGAAAAGAAAAGCAGACTTAAGAGGAGTCTTAATGGGATTGAACAATAGACTTTAAGTCATTCTCTTAGTTTTTTTTTTATGGAGGTTAAGAAATCCTAGTTTTAAGGAAGGAGAAGGTTTACCACCCTCTAGCACACACATGATCATTAAGAAACGTAGCCTTTTACTAGCAACTTAATTTCTGAGTTAAATTAGATAAGTATAAGTTTAATTCATTGTAAAATAGTAGTCGTATAAATTATCATATGCATAATATATTTTGAAAAGTATGTTTCGAAGATATGATTATTATTAGCTAAAAATATTTTATGAATGTATATATTTTGTAAGCATAAAAATATATGAATTACGATAAAAATATCTTATATTCATACATATATGATCATGTCCGGTATGGAAGTGCACGTGTTTTCTATGATGTGTAGCATAGGAATGTATAGATATATTACAATGTGCAATGTATGTAAGTATTATGACGTGTGATATGAGAGTGCACATATATATTATGACATGTGGTGTGAAAGTACACGTATATACTATGACATACGATATGAGAATGTACGTATATATTATGATGTGCGGTGTAAGGTGCACGTACATGGCGTGCAATGTGAGAGTCCATATATCTATTATGATGTGTAGTATAGGAGTGTATGTATGTATGATGATATGCAGTATGGGAGTGTATATATATATTATAATATACGGTATGATGAGGTACAGAAGTAAATGAATTTGTTATTTTTTATATATGCATATCAGCATCTCGAATTATTTCAACATAGAATTTTACGTCCTTATTGTGCACATACTATGTTGTAGGTTATTTTTGCTAAAGAAGTTATAAGATGAGATGTTTATCGTTAAATATCTTATGTTTATGATTTTGAAATGTTGTATATATGATATGATGTATGTTCACGTAAATAAAGTTATAAAAATGTATACTTACTCAGTGATTATTCACTATGGATCCTATTTTTTAGATAAGGATAACAGCATTTCACTCAATTGATTAGGTAGAAAAGTGAGCATGTGCAAGCCCATACCATAGACATGGATGATGACCTATGGGCATTTTGTGTATGAAAATTTTAGACATATTTTGTTTGTATTTTTTTTTAGTTAGATGTTATAATTATACACAGGTATCAAAAATATTGTGTAAAGGGGAAGCTTTATAATTTTATTTAGTAAACATATTTTAACTTTTAAGATTTTCTACTTTCTACTACATTTCTAGTGATAAAAAAAAAATATATATATAGTATGATGAAACTAAGAGTAGGGTGTTACACCTCCAACTTGGGAGCTGCCTACTGAATGTGATGAAGCCCATTGACATCAACAATGGGAGATCGTGGGGCTCCATTTGAGGGGTGATCTATTGGCCATGGGTAGTCTAGGGCAACAAGAGTCATGGCTGATTGAGACATCTCCATTGGAATGGGTGTCGGTTGTTGAGGAGTTGGAGATGCTCTTGATTGGCTTAGCTGAGGGATGAGGGGGATGACGAACTGCATCACTCTCAGATAGTATTTGAACTTACTTGGTGCGACTTGGGAAGACCTTCACAGGGAACATCATTTGGGTGGGAGTTTCCATCGAAGGAGAGAAACTAGGATCATTAAACAACCACCAATACTATAGAGGGGTCTATGTCAAGGTGAAAATGTCAAAGGTTGGCAACGTGAGCTATTGTTGTCTACCAATAGTGAATGTGTTGTGGGTTGAAGGTGGAGCGTCATTGCTACAACACTTATTGAGCTAGTGAATGAGATGATACTCTTCCGACATGTGAGCCCTTTTTTCAATACTAAAATATTATAAGAAATATTGATGATAATTAAATCAATCTAGTTTAAACCCGTGTTTGTAAAATTCTTTCGATGTGGGTGAGAGAAGTACGAGTATTTGAACTAATGTCGACCTACAAAAATACCGAAGGCAAGTGGGGTTTCTGACATGGTTTGGCCAAATCGGAAAGAATATGATATGGGCTGAATATTCCTCTAATATTTTATATTGGATTGATATTCATATGGCATGTTTGTTGATAGGGTCTCAGCCTCCTTACGTCCACTGGGTTACCACATGATAAACCTTGATTGGGTTGAACACTTTCACTATCAACACTAAAAATATTTGTTTGGTTACAGTATATTAGACTAACTTATTTAAGGGTTCAAAAACTCATTTAATAGTCTAATTGTGATATATCTTATTAATTTTATATTTAAAATATTAATCCCATGGGGATGCATTCATCTTACAAATTTAAATTTAAAGTAAAAGATACTATCTAACTTAATTAGTAATGGATTTATCACACCTTTCAGATGTCTTAGGATCAAATCTTGTTACAGAACATACTTTTGCCAAGAAAAAAAAACCTTAATCGTATCACGAAGATGCAGAGATGTTGGACCATGCATTGTGAAATAGGACGTTGCTGATGTTTTGTTTTATAATTTTTTGGACCATCCATTGTGAAATATGACAACAGCATCTGTTCTTGATACGTCATGTCATGTAAGTAACATCAGCAACGTCATATCCCAGTCTCACAACCTTAATCAGAATTTTATATGGTGGGAGTTGGCAATTAAAACAAAAAGGGTGCGCTATAAATATGAGATTCCTTCCGTTCATTCGTCTTTTGCTGAGACTTCATAGAAGAGCATGTCATGTGCCAGCCAGACTTCACAATGCGTTTACTTTTTAGACCGGTGAAGGTCCCAACTCTAGCTGAAAAGGGACTCCCTGAATGAGGTGTCTCAAATCATGGAGAGTGCCCCCGTATACCCGGGGCATAATTGCATGCACTCTTCCATCTTTGTATCGTCTAGTTCAGCCCATGAGATGATGACAATCTCTTTGGCAATGGCAGTTATTTTATCTGTTGTTCATGATAAGATCCTAAAATCTTATCGTCACTCTAATATAAAATGATAAGACCCTAAGGTTTTATCGTGGAAGAAAGAAAAAAAAAAAGAAATGATAATAATCGTTTCGAGGGGATCGATCTCCTAGGGTTTGTCCATAGAGTGAACTAACATTTCATTGATTAACTGATTGATTGATTGATTTAAAGAAAGTGTTACATCACTATTTATAGAGTTCCATAGACTTTTAATAATAAATAAATATTAAATAAATCTCTACTCGACTCTAACTACAAACTCAATAAACATTATTCAAAAACTCAGAAAAAGGATCTAAGAGTTTATTTAGACCTATGTTAAGTGATAATATATCCCAAGAACCTAGAGTGTGTCTAAGAGTTTTCTTTTCCTATTCATTTGTATTATTCTTTTGTTATCTAGAATAGATCTAGTATCAGAGTAAACTGGCATGCCTTTCTCATTGCGCCAGCCAATAAAGTAGTCGAGAAAAATGAGCTCTGTTTGCTAAAGAGACAGGTCTGTTCCACCCTGTAAGGAAAAGATACGACAGGAATGGTGTTGGCTTTGGGACATAGGAAACAGCTAGCAGTTGGCGTCACATTTATGCTGCATCACCGACAACACAGCCACAACTGCGTTTCAAGTAGGGCACAGTGGGGTGGCATACCATAAGATTACAATTGCATCTCCAGTATGCTATACAACCACACTTACAATCTTGGGATTAAGCTGTTCAGCATTTTGTAATGTTAAGAAAAAACGCTCTAAAATAATTTTAGCTGTTGATTCACGAAAAAAACAAAAAGTTGACTCACACGACAACAATGACAAGCTGTAATGTCTCAACTTCCAATGTGAATCATGTTTGGCCAAATTCCACAGAGTTTTAGTGTTTTATGCCGACTCCTTGGTGCTTCCATCTATCAGCCACATCTTTTTCTGTATCAAAAGAATGACTTCTCTGTCCTCCAAATCTGAATTGGATTCAGCATCCACAACAGCCACTGATTCCCAGTGCATTGCTGTAAGATACTTCTTGATGAACTCTGTGACTGGCCTCCTGTCCCGGACAATTACAAAACCATTTGGCCTTAGGATTCGATCCATCTCAATAAGCAGGTCTTCAGCGCTGCACCCTTTCTTCTGGATGTCAGAAAAAACAGTCCAAGCATGAAGGAGATCATAAGTTCGAGGGTATGTTGAAAATGCCTCACACCTGTTGAGATTTGAGGATGATCAGTAAAAAAAAAAATCAAAGAAAAAACAAGTTCTTCACATAGAGATGCAACTGAGTTCACTGCTTTGTTCAGGACATCCACACATGTTATTGACTGTACTATCGATCTTCTGGACAAATACAAAGACAATATTGCACAATGGCTTCCCCAAAGTAACAAGGCCAGCCACCATAAACAAGCAAAGAGGAAGTGAAGTAGGAAAAATGACAAATCCATGAAATATGAACATTCCATGATGTGGACCTAGTTCTTTTCTTGCTATATTCAGCAATTAAAATGGATTTCATTTTAACAATAAAAACCTCAAATATACATGCAAAATCAGCATGACATATATTAGCAACCTTTGAACTAAGGCAATGACAACCTAAGGAACGGTTCAATCATTACATTGGGTTACAGAAGATGTGAACAAAATCAAATAAGAACAAATTCCAGGAAGTTCTTCAGAATAATTTTAGCTTCGAATGAGGGGGTGCTGGATAGAAAACACAAGAAAAATAGTAGATACTGGGGAACATTATGAAATAATTAAAACAAAATAGTGAAAGAATTTTACACATTTCAGCTTCAGAAGGAAAAGTCAAAGCAGAGAGAGGCAATAGGTTGCCAATAAAGATTAACCGAGGCTCCTAGTGCAGTCATTTTTTAACTCCAAAAATTAGCTCATTCTTTGAAGTTGCCCTATGGTAGCTCAGAAACACTCAGAAACCAATCAATCTATAGGTCATTCTGACATTACACAAGCATACAGAATGGGCTGTGGTAGATAGAGTTCAGTTGCTTGAAGAATACATTATTACATAGAAACCAAGAAAGAACACTTGAAAGTTATTCTCAGTTGGAACACCAGAAATTCCAAAGAAGGCACTCTAACATGAAAATGGCATGCATGTATGCTTAGTGAAATTACTTGGCTCAGTTTCCAAAATTCATTCCTGCAAGATATCTGCATTTTGAGGCTATCGAGCATGATTCAAATGAAATCAGGTAGCTAAAAGCAGAAACCTAGTAATAAACTAGCAGATAAACTTTTCAAAGTACCTTTACCACCAATGACTATTAGCAAAGATATATGTAGGAATAATACAAAACCAGTTAAATCTAGGTCTTTACTAAATGGTCATAAAATCCATAGTCCAAAGCAACCGCTTTATATCAGCAACAGAAGCTTACCAGTCATGCACAGTGCCTATCAGTCCTCTGTCATAAATAATCTTGAGGGTGTTTGGTCCATCTTCTGGTACAACATTCATAACCCAAACAGGCTCATCTTTGAGTGCAGCAGCAAATGATCCCATGTTAGCATTCATATCCATCAAGTTTCTCAGCGTATTTGGCCGTATCTTTGCACTAAAGAGGCTCCAGTAATTCTCAACTCTCTGTTGCCAAATTTCCTGTGAATTATGTGTACATCAGAAAACAAATTCTACTGCTTCAAAGATCATTTGTATGTTGCACTTTCATAATTGTAGGTGCACCTAGAAGCATATCAAATTGCAACCATTAATAATTGGAAGTCACAAATGATACACAATGTTATTTACCATGTCCTTTTCAAACATGTCTTTCGAAATACCAAGGTCAGCAAGGCGTGGAGGTGGGGTAATTAAGCGAGATGGCCAAGGAGCCAATCCACTTCCTCCATCTCTTTGGATCTCTGCAAAAAGGAAAATTTATCAAAACCAGACTTATTGTTAAAAACTTTGAAGTAACAAGACTATGTAGGAATAGCTAAGTTCTTTATCAGAAACAATGAAACTAACAAGCCACCATATATTTTCTCTAAAGATTTTGGAGTAATAAGATTATGTACTAATATTTAAATTCATTATCTAACGAGCATTTGGATACCAAGAGTTAACAAGACTCATAAAACATATATTTCTTCAACATTCAAGACAAAAGTACAGAATCTTTTCCAGTCACCTTACAGGTTAATTATTCGATCAAAATGGTGTGAAACAGAATAACAATGACGAGATAGAAATTTATGCCAATGGGAAGTGCAACTATTCTACAACTTTTAAGAGGTTGGTAGGGAAATAACTTATAATCAGGAAAGAAGATAAACTACTCACTAGCAAAAAAGGTTCTAAGTATGTGCAGTTTTATTTTTTCCAATTCACATTTTGAGATATCAAGTTGTTTTTAACACACTTATTAATGTGATAAACCTTTTGAGCTGAGTTTGAAGTATCAATTTGATATGATCCAAACCAGCATCATACTGTCACTCTATGCTCATGATGATACATCATGAAACAAAAGATATTTTGCTGCTATTGTGTTGGCTATCCACTTGAACCATTGTATTTGCTACCTACCGCTGTTGTTGAAATTTTTGCTGTCCATCACAGGTAAAACAGAAAGGTAATGATATTAAGAGCTGAAGAGGACAACAATTAATCCTTAACCTTCTAAAGAAAACAAATATGCCGAATAAGGTAATTTTTGTCACCAAGTGACCTTGTCTAAGTTCAATCTGGTGACACAATTTTAGCATCACCAATACATTTTATCAAACAAAAAAGATCAGATGGTGGATAATATTTTGCATACAACTTTGTATACAGAATTAGGATTAAGAAGCAAAAAATTTTACAAACTCTTCTATTCAAAAGTTTTACAAACAAGTATGAGTTTTTTTTTTATAATATAATGTGGGGCCATTATAAGGCTGATTCTGTAATAGACTAAAGTAGTAAACATTTGTTTAAATATTGTACAACATTTATGATAAAGCTTATAACGACCATGGTTTCCAATGCCACATTCAAGAGGAGCAAAAAGAACACAACGCAAGCATGGAAACAACAAATACTTGCTAAATCACCTTATAATATATGTGATGTGTACCGTAAAATGCCTGCCCAGTAGACAATAGGAAACAAAATATTCAATTACATTAATCACATTTTCCAACAGTTGCAGACCAATTTGTTGGTCACCACTTGGTGCATGGTTCCAGAATCAACAAAATCTGACCATATTGTAAAACCTGTCATATATTCTCAGACAGCATAGGCTAATCACAACATATCTTAGATTATTCATAAATGTAAAAGTGTGCTGCTTTATTTTGTAGAAAATTTGTTGTGCAAAAGTCAAGTACAGCCCTACTGAAGGCCAAAACCAAAACACGATAAAAATAAAAGGTGCACAGATCCTATAAGACAAAGTAACAAAGAAAGCCTCAAGAAGAACTCAAATTATGTTAGAGGATAGAAAAATAATAATAGACCACACGAGATGATCACTCACGTTCAGAGTAAGGAGTAATACAAGCCTCCATTGGAACACCCCAAACAGCATCAGGATCATCATCAGATCTGCATAGAGGTGGTCGAGTTCCTGGTTCTCTCTTCATATAACAATCATTTGTCAGAGGTTTGACCCATATAACAGTTTGGTTCCTTTTGGCAGCAATCTTCCAACACATCTGCTCAACCAGTGCACTCATCTCCTTCCATATCCTGAGGTCCTCTTCATCTTGAGCATATGCTTCAGGAGATGAATAAGCAAAATAGCCTCCCGGCCTAAGCAACCTGTCTAACTCAAGAAGAAGAATCCCATCTCTTTGAAGCCAATCAATTCGACACCGAGAACAATGTGCAAATTCAAAAGATCTGCTTGGATAAGGAAGTCTCTTTGTCCCCAATACACCTAGGTAAGCAGGAATTCCCCTCTCAAGTGCAAATTGGATCTGATTTTGATGAACATCATTTGGTGCTAGAGACATTGCTATGATATCAGATGACAAAAGATATCCTCCAAAGCTAGCAACTCCACAGCCAACATCAAAAACCGTCCGGATATTTCCCTCATTGTTTAAGATGTTATTTTTGAAATTAAGCATCTGTGGTCCAAAAAAAGAACATTTTTTTTAATTTAAAGCTGAACTACTAAACGCATCAAGGAATTCAATAAAATAGAAAACCTGAAAACAATCAAAAAGGAAAAAAAAAAAAAAAGAAGGCACCTGAATTGGAAAATTATGTAAATTTCTGAAATCTGTAACAATTTAATAAATTAAAATGACTCAATCTGCATTTCTGTTTTACATGTCATTAATCACAAGTTTAAAGAAGACTTACATTTGCAAGGTGTGAAATATATTTATCAGCTCCATAATGAAAATGAGTGCCACCTCCAGGAAAAACAATCTTGTCTCCCTTGACAACCATCCAGTTCTGGTCAGACTTCTCATGTGCAAGGTGTGTGTGGGGAATATTTACTTGCCAAACTTCATCTCGGCTCCTTGGCCACTTTATTGGAACCTACAGAACGATAATGACAAAGCATTTATTCGAAGCCTAAGAGAACAAAATATGGTCCACTTATGCAAAGGATAAAGAATGAACAAGTTCAAGGGCATCTTTGTTGTTGGTATTCCATATCCAACCTTGTAGCCAGGTGGTGGGGGAATCAAGCAGTTGTAGCACCTCTCAGGTTGTGGGCAATGTCTCTCGTAATGCTCCATCAAAGACAAATCCAGCTTAAGTTTTGTTTGGTAAATAAGATTTCGATCCAGGCAGGGAATGAGCTCCGAATGTCGATCATCACAGACCTTTAGAAGAGCAGAACAAATCAACTAGAGTTTGTAGATTCGTTGATGATTAGAAAGACAGATGGCTAGCTCAAAATGCACTTACAGGAAAGCTTTTTGGTGAAAGATTGTAATCTCCATCCTCCTGACTGATAATGGGCTCTTCTGATTTGCCTACCTCTTCATTACCATCATTAGACCAACCAATTGATCTCTTAATTTTACCACCAAACTCTAAAGCAGAGTTAGCATCCTGACCCTGAGGACCAAAGAAAGATCCATAGTACAGAACCAAAACAACTAGAACCAGAACTGCAAGACACAATGATAGGAACAAGTGTTTCTTTTCGCCTCCATCTCTTCCCTTCATCATCTTGAAAATAGGGCTCCAGTAAGGGACGCTAGATTTTTTAAAATTCTCCGAGGACCTTATGGTGGCACCTTTTAATCTACATAGTGAAACATATCAAAAACCGACAGCAAGCTTCAAATAGCGCAGCGAGTCTCCAGAATTCAGTGATCTGCAACTCCAACAAGCCTCTGATATTTTTCCTTCCTGGCTGATACTGAATTGTCGAAGAGGAATGACAGGTTTGAAGATACCTTCTTGAAGAAAAGATGATCTGCGAGAACAGAACAAATCTAATTATCCACCAGCAAAAGATTTCTCAGTATAAACAAAAAAGAATTTATCAAATGCCATACTGGAACGAGAAAAAAAAAATCCAGCAAGAGAACACACGAAGAAGTAAGAAAGATAAGCTACTGCAACAAAACATCAGCTTATAAGCGGGACAAAATCTAATGACAGCCTAACCAATTAGGCTGTTATCATCCTAACCAAATTACCTAACCGACCACTAATGACAACCTAATTATCATCCTAATATTCTCATTTAAAGCACTAACTAATAGATCCCAAAGAAACACAACAGGCCAAAACCCCACGACCAGAAAGGGATTGGCATCGGCAAGGCGCGGATCCACGAGTCCCAGACATAGAACAGAAAACCATGAACTCCACCATCACGAAGATCCATTCGGCGAGTATAAAGAACCTCCAAGAGAACGCACCGGCATGCAATCAATGAACTGATCCAGGAACACTATGAAAAGAACGACAGAACCCTCACAGTGGATCAAAATCCGCCGCCAGGATCCGAAAAAAAAGGGACCGCATTCGCAATACAATCAAAATGCAGGAGGATTCGAGTGAAAGGAACACTCACCCGGTAGGCGAGATCCAGCGGGAAAATCGAGCACAAAGAAGCCCTAAGAGACGTCCAAAACCAAAAGAACGGATCGAAAGGGAAAGGGCCGATGGAGAAGAGAAGAGAAGGAAACCCCAGAAACCAGTTCGCCTTATTGGCGGAAGGAGGAAGGGAGAGTTAGATCCGGAAGCTTTGTAGAAGAACTGGGAGATATCTGGTTCCTTTTAAACATATCCAAAGCCGAACCGATGAGATG